GGCCCAGAACAATGGAGTTGGCTGACCAAGGACTGAACCTCTGAACCCATGATCCCCAAATAAACTCTTCTCCTCTAAGTTGTTCTTGTCAAGTCTTTTGGTCACAGCAACAAAAAGCTGACTAATGCAGAAGCAATCTCTGTATGTTTACGGGCTGCAAACAAACTAAAACTAAAAATGCCAAACCTGGAATAGCTACTGCATCCACTGAAATAGCTCTTCTACAGTGCAGAGCTGTGGGGGAATTGTGGTCTGCATTATTCTTTAACTGTTTTGCCATAATCATCCCTAGAGTAGGAGGAACTTTAAATGAGAGAAAGGATGCCACTTTTATACCACCAAGCCTTCTGGAATGGCTTCCCCACACACAGAACTGTAGGGGAATTGGGTATCACTCTTCCTGTTTTTACTGAATTCCATAGATTTGTTTTAAGTCCTTTGATCAATCTCCAGAGACTTAGAATGATGGGTAGTTTTGCCTAGTCTAATAGATATCTCCCTGGGAATTTTTTGTCTAACTCGTTATACTACTGTTCCTAGAGAGGTATATATAATTAAAAATTCAAACTACAAAAGGCTTTAAGTGAAAAAAATACGTCTCTGGGGCTGGGGTTGCAGCTCAGTGGTAGAGCACTTGCCTCGAATGCGTGAAGCCCTGGGTTCGATACTCAGTTCATCTACAACTAAAAAAAATATTTAAAAAAAGAAAGAAAGAAAAGTACATCTCTTTCTCAAACACAAGTCCTGGTTTGATTTCTAGACCCAATAATCACTACTAGCTTCTTACTTTTACTTAGATATTCTTGCTACATACATAAATGACCTTGGCTTTTAAACCTGGAATGTCTGAACTTCAGCTGCTGCAAGATGCAGCTTCAGTTTTTGAGCTTGTGATTTGCTGAGATTTTGTTAAACCCATTATATCTGTTGTCTTTCTGCCTACCTTTATATACGTTTATAGGTTAAGCAGTCCTTTCTGGCTTGGGTCTTAGTTATTGTAAATCACCTAATTTAGTTTATTATGTATTTATTATTGGCAAAACTGTCTAGTATTATATCTGAATATTGACATAAGAATTTAAACTTCATTTACTTAAGATTCATTCAATATAGATAGCATCTTCCTGTAGTAAATTGTACACGGTGTCTAGACATTAGTGCAGCTGTTGCTTTAGATACCAGACAACAGAATGAGGGCTGTTAAATAATTTTTAGATGGTAAATAGCATTGCCTTAAAATAGAGGCAAACTCAGAATTATAGCTTTGGTTAATTTCTGTTTTAAATGTTTTAACTGTGATGTTTTTAGAAACAAAGAATACAACATGTGTATTTGGCACTAGATAGCCTTATTCCCCTGATCCAACTCTGGGGACTGATATTTTTGAAACCCTTTCTATGTAAGAGTTTTGTTTTCTGGGGTGGGGGATGTAGCTTAGTGATAGAATTCTTGTCTGGCATGTGTGAGGCCCTGGGTTCAATCCCTGGCACCCCAAAAATAAGGGTTTTGTTTTGTTTTGGTACCAGGGATTGAACTCCTGGGCACTTGACTATTGAGCCACACCCCAGCCTGTTTTTTAATTTATTTTTATTTTTTATTTTAAGATGGGGTCTTGCAAAGTTGCTTAGGGTCTCATTAAATTGCCGAGGCTGGCTTTGAATTTGTAATCCTTCTGCCTCAGCCTCCCAAGGCACTGGGATTACAGGCATGTGCCACCCAATCTCTGTTTTTTTTTTTTCTTCTTCTTTGATTGATTGCTGTACAGAAATGAATTGAATTATCTTCCCAAAGGCGAAAGTTCAGATGACATAGCCTTCCTTGTTTTGCTGCTTCAATTTCTTATATATACTTTTTGCCCAGTGGCATATATCTGTTTGTATGAGGTAATATTGAGTGTGGAATCTCATCTGGAAAAGTTAATAAACTGAAGAAAATGACAGGTATACTGGGAAAGTAAAGATGGATAATCAAACCATTGTTTAATTAAACTACTGTTTAATTAAACGTGTGTGACAGGGATTTAGACTTTCCTATACCTACTCTGAACCTACTATGGGACATTAGCCAGTTTTAGTTTTAATTAAGTAGGTTGTTATTCAGGGAAGTTGTAGAGAAAAGGAACAAGAGTATGTTTTGTCTGTTCCCTTATCTCTGAAAATAATGGCAGTGGTAGGATGGGGGAATATAGGTAGACAAAGAAAAAGTAAGAGAGAGAGAGAGAGAGAGAAGGAAGCAGTGTGGGAAGGAGAGCTGTGAAGCAGTGTGCTAGCTACATTTTTTTAAAAGTTTGAGTAGGTGGGCACTCTAAACAATAGAGACCCCACACTGACCCCATAGAATTAGTCTTTACAAAATACAATATGGGCTGAGTTTAAAATTGTAATACACTAAAATTTATTACAAAGTTATGCTACATCTTAACAAGAGATGTTGACCCATCTCTGTAAATTATTATAGTATGTATTCCAGTCAAATTAAAGATTTCTAGGTTCAGCAAAGACGGAAAGAATTGGACCAAAACTGGAAGCATCTCTGAGGTTTTATAACCCAGGGGACCCACACAGTTAGGACTCTACGTTCGTGTGTGTGTATGTTTGCTGGGGATTGAACCTAGGGGCTTTACATTTCTGTAGAAGAAAACATAATTCTGGGGTCCCATGAGCCCATAGCATTATTGTTAGGTTTGTCTCCTAGTATTGGGAGCCATGGAGGAATTGATTAGGGATCTAGTGCAATCTTATGGGGAATGGTGGTGCTTAAAATTAAATATTTTGGATTAAAAATCAGTATACTTGAGTGGCTCCAAGAAAAAGGCATTATTAATAATATATATCTTTATTTTAGCATTATTTTCAGAGGTAAGGGAACAGATAAAACTTATTCTTGTTCCTTTTCTCTACAACTTCCCTGAATAACAACCTACTTAATTAAAACTAAAACTGGCTAATGTCCCATAGTAAGTTCAGAGTAGGTATAGGAAAGTCTAAACCCCTGTCACATACATGCACGTGATCTGAGATATATCATATTCTCTCTGCATTTGTCTCTAGCTGATTCCTTCAATTGTTACTTTGGTAACAGTTAGAAGCCACTTAAACCCTGGGATGGAAGCAAGACTTTATACCTTCATAAATGTTTTTCTTTAATCAGATGGCTTTTCCATTAAGATCAGGAATTGTTACTTTGCAGATTTACATTGTACTCTATGTAAGTGCTAGTCCCTGGAATCAGGTAACATTAGTGGTCTCTTCTAAATCTGGCTGTGATAGATATACTGAAGGAATAAGAATTTGGTATATGATATGTTATTATGAAAGAAGAATTCCTAGCAGTTTTGAAAAGAATGGGACTGTTTGGGGCAGGGATTGTGGCTCAGTGGTAAAGCTCTTGCCTAACACACGTGAGGCTCTGGGCTCAATCCTCAGCACCACATAAAAATAAAATAAAGTTTGTTGTGTACACTTAGAACTAAAATAAATATTAAAAAAAAAAAAGAATGGGACTCTGAAATATTAGCCTGAGTAAGTGAAGGACTTGGTCAGAAAGCATGTCAGACCTGAATGGGATCAGGAGAAGTATTTTCAAAGCCAATAACAGATAAATGTCAAAAACATAATGTTGAAGAAAAGAAATCAGACACATATAAGTACATATTGTATGATTCCATTTATATAAAGGTTAAAAACAGGCAAAACTCATCTGTGGGGTTTGAAGTCAGGATATCGTTGCCCTGATGGAAGAGAATGAGTAGTTAGAAGGCAAGCATAAAGGAGTCTTCTGGGAGGCTGATCATCTGTTCATTGAGTTGGCTGTTGAATACATTGGTATGTTTTGTTTGTGAACATTTATTGAGCTGTACATTGTGGACTGTGTTGTTTTCTGTAGGTATGTTGTATTTCAGTGTAAAATTAGAAAAGAAAATGTTCATAGTAGGTCAGTTCTACATATTTGGAGGTCACTTTTAATTGCCTATAATCAGGAATTGGATAAATAGGGACTGGGTAAATTGTGTTATATTCCTCATTCCTCTGGGGAATACTAGATTGTTATACATTGTTATTTCTGATAATAGTTCTATATGTACTGACATGGAGTGTTATTAAATGGTTAAAGGAATTTTCAGAACATATGTCTAATTTACGTAAAAATAAAACACTGTACATATATTTCTGTAGGTGTTGAAAATATCTGGAAGGATACACACTAAATACAGATGCACTTCAAATTATGATGGGTTATGTTTCTATAAGCTGAGAATATCCTAAATTGAAAATGTACTCAATACACCTAACCTACTGAATATAACTTAGCAACTCAGTACACAATAGAGTGTCTCTTGTTTACCCTCATGATTGCATGGCTGACAGGTTAGGAGCTAAGCCTCCTAACCTGCCCAGCATTGTGAAGTAGTATTGTACTACATATTGGGAAAAGGTTAAAATTCAAAATTCAAAGTATATTTCCTGCAGAATGCTTTTTTACCACTGTAAAGTGAAAAAATCATTAGTTGAATGATCGTAATTCAGGGACTATCTAATTAACCATGGTTATCCTTGAGGATTAGTTTGGATTTTTTTGATACCGTGAACGTGGGTTGCTTTTTTTTGTAGGTGGCCACAATACCTCATTTTATTTATTTATTTTTATGTGGTGCTGAGGATTGAACCCAGTGCCTTACATGTGCTAGGCAGGCGCTCTACGACTAAGCTACAATAAACATTATTTTAAGAAGTAAATTCCAAATACTATTTTAAAGGCAAATGGATTGAAAAAAGTAATGTCGTTGTTCTGGCAAAATCTCTAAGTGTCCTTAAAAGAAGAAAAGGAGTTGTGGAGAAAATTAAGACACCCCCCCTGCCCCTCGAAAGAAGAACTAATATAATTTTATCTTATTATATCCCAGAGGGTGAGGCAGATTTTGATGACTTTGAAAAAAAAAAAGTGAATGTGGGCATTTAATGTAAAGTAGAACTAAGTTGCCTTCCTAATTCTCCTTTTAGTTGATCCAGAGTACCAGAAAGAAGCTGAACAGCGGCATCGAGAATTGGCAGCTAAAGCTGGAGGATTTAATGACTTTGCAACTTTAGCTGTCATCTTTGAACAGTGCAAATCAAGGTATGTGAGGTAGTCCTTTGGACTAGAAGATACTAGTTTTGATATATAGCTCCAGAATGAACTTACTCTTGTGATGTTAAATGCTAAGCTTCAGTGGGGATGATATTGACTTCAAGGTATTTTGAATATCAGTGATATTATGTCAGGTGAGAATTACTTCCTAGGCATTTATTATATAATATTGATTCTCTTCTTTCTTCTCCTCAAATCTTTCCTGAAAATAATGTTACAGAATTTTACTAGGTAATTTAGGTTAAAAAAATGATTGGATATTTGTTCATGCCTATGCGTAAAAAAAAAAAGTATTTACAGTTTAATTTTTAATTTAGAAAAATTAACACTTATTTTTTCAAACTTCTTTTATTAAAGATAGAAGAGAGAGAATATTTTAATATTTATCTTTCAGTTTTCGGTGGACACAACATCTTTATTTTATTTTTATGTGGTGCTGAGGATCAAACTCAGCGCTTTGCGCATGCCAAGCAAGCGCGCTACCACTTGAGCCACATCCCCAGCCCCTCAAACCTCTTAATAGTTGAACAGATCTCATAAAAGAGCTGACAATTGGGCTGGGGCTATAGCTTAGTGGCCGAGCGCTTGCCTAGCATATGTGAGGCACTGGGCTTGATTCTCAGCACAACATAAAAATAAACAAACAAAATAAAGGCATCTGTCCATCTACAAGTATCAAAATAAATAAATAAATTTCAGAAAGCTGACAATTGTTTGGTGGTTTCTTCTCGTCAGAGAAGTGAGAATGTTAGAGCCAGGAACTGGGCACATACTTGTAATTCAAGTTACTTGGGAGGCTGAGGTAGAAGGATTGCAAGTTTGTGGCCAGTCTGGGCAACTTAGTGAGACTCTGTCTCAAAAAAATTTTAAAAGGTCTGAGGATGTAGCTTAGTGGTAGAGTACCCCCTGGGTTCAATTCTCAGTACTGGGGGGGTGAGGGGGGAAAAGAAATAAAATAAGAAATGAGAATGTTAAATTGTCTTTCACCATAAGTATTTTCAAGAGATCAGTATTTTTGTTTTGTAGTGGAGCTCCAGCTTCGTGGTGCCAAAAACATTGGATTCATTGGAGGTGCTTATTTTCTGCATTTCGTGTGGAAGCCCAACTTCGAGAGCTAATCAGGAAGCTTAAACAGGTAATTGCTATTTATTTATTTTTCCTTAAGTAGCCTTTTTAGCCTATATATTCCATATGGAATTTAACTGATATATGCATAGTTACTTCTTACCACCTTCTCTTTCTGCATACAGCCATCTCCCTGACCCTGTGAATGATTCCTATTAGTAATGAAGAAATTTATCTGCAGAAATGAGGATATTTTAAAATAGCTTTACTGAAGTATAATTGATACACAGCAAACTACATATATTTAAAGTGTATAATTTTGACATTTGTACAGACCTGTGAAACTGTCACTACAATCAAGATAATGAAAACACCCACTTCCCAGAGTTTTTCATGTCCTATAGTAATCCATTCATCTTCCCTCATAGGCTTCCCTTTTCCTCCTTACCCAGGCAACCACTGATCTGCCTGTTGTGATTGTACATAAGTTGGCATTTCCTTATATTTTATGTAAATGAAATCATTCAGTATGTACTTTTTTGGGAGGGGGTCTGGATTCTTTTTACTTAGCATAATTTATTTCAATTTTATACTTTATTGTGGTAGACCACATAGCATAAAAAAGAATTTTATCATTTTTAAATGTATTGGCATTAGGCATGGTGGCATGTGCCTGTACTCCCAGCAACTCTGGAAGCTGAAACAGGAAGATTCCAAGTTTGAGACCAGCCTCTGTGACTTAAGTGTACAGTGTCATTAAGTACATTTTCACTCTTGTGTGATCCTTGGTACTTTCTATCTCCAAATAGAAAATATAAAAAGTTTTTCCAGAATTTTTTCATCATCCCATAACTGAAAAATTCTGTACCTATTAAACAATAACTCTCCATTCCCTCTCTTCCCATTCTCCAGTAACCAATACTTTTCTGTCTTTTCATTTTAAATAATGTTTTCTATTTGCTTTGCCTTTATACTCACTAATCTTTCGTAGTGTCTAATCTGTCATAAATCCCATCCATGGTATTTTTCATATCTAGATGTTGTTTATCTCTAGACCTGGAAAGTTTTTTTCAGGTTTTTACTTAACTTTTTCTTTCTTCCTTTTTTCTCTTTATGGTGCTGGGAATCTAACTCATGACCTCATACATGCTCAGCAAGCCCTTTACCACTGAGCTGAATCCCCCTAGCCCTCCACTTAACTTTTCAAACATAAAGTAGTCCATTTATAATATGTGTATAATTAATATCTACATCAGTTCTGAGTTGATTTTGTTGGTTGATTTATATTTTCATTATAGGTTGTATTTTCCTATTTCTTCACATACTTAGAGTTGATGCCAAACCTTGTGAACTTTATCTTGCTGGGTGCTGGATGTTTTCTTATTCTAGTTATTAGAACCTGATTTTTTTTGTGGGGAGTCATGCTTATAAGATTTGTTATGTGGGATCAGAACAGTGCTCAGTATAGAAGTAGTTATTCGCTACTTCAAAAGCAAGACACTACACAAAACCGTATGAATTATGAGATATTCTAGCTGACTTACAGGGACAGGTACCATTCTTTGGCAGTGTGAATATACCTCTCTAGCTAGTAGATTCCTTACATTCATAGACTAATCCATACTCAGCTGAACATTTGAAGACCTTCTGCAGATCTATGTGCAATTCTCTTTTGTTACTGTAAATTTCAGTCACCTTTGTCTTCCTGGTCTTTCAGCTGTGTCTCCTCAACTCTCAGGGAGTTCTCTTTGTTTCATTTTGGGTTTTCTTTTTTTGTGCCTTGGTCTAAGAAAGACGGTAGGCTGGGCAGTCCTTGGGTTTGCTTCAGTTCCTGTTTCTCAAGGGTCACTATCATCTGTTGTCTGATATATATGGTGTTCTGGAAATCATTATTTCATGTATTTTATCTGTCTTGATTATTTCAGGTGGAAGGGTAAATCTAGTTCTTCTTACATCATATTGGCCAGAAGCAGAAGTCTTTTAAGAATATGGATTTTTCAAAATAAAAGATAATTTTGAATTGTTCTTTGAGATTTACTACTGAATATATATTCTATCTACAGCAAAGTGATTTCCCAAAAGAGACCTTTGAAGGCCCTAAACATGAAGTACTACGAAGATGTCTTTGTGCAGGATATTTCAAAAATGTAGCTCGAAGGTAAGCAATATAAGCTTGAGGGCTGGATCAAGAATACTATTATATTTGGTTATAATACTGAACTATTTAATATTAAAGATTGGAGATTCAATTTAAGTTCTGAGGTGATGATGACTTCAATTATGAGCTCTTTCATAATTGTCACTTGTACAGGGGGAGCTGCATTGGCCCAGAGTGGGAGGAGAGTATATGTAGGGCAGGTCCAGCATGGGTTTATCACCTAAGGCAAGTAACAAGGATTTTCTTGTAGAGATGTGGCCCCAAGTGGACTATGAGAGCCAAAAAGGTTGAGGATGGCATAGGAAAGGGGTAGTTTGGCAAGGAATGTCAGACTTTAGACAACCTGTGGAGGGGTTATTTGATCTGGCATGTGAGTATGTGAGGGTAGTGATGAGGGTATCTTCATAGGAAGGGTATGACACTGGTATGTGAAATTCATTATATACAGAGGAATGGATCATATAGCTAAGTATATGATAATTAGAGTTAAAAATATGGAAGGTGAGAAAACAAAACAGTTTCTGAGTTGATTTGGAATTTCAAGTTATCATAATGAAATTATGATGGTACTTGATAGATGAATGGATAAATTGATTTGGGAATAAAAATAGTGTGTGTGATAAGTATTTGCGTGTATGTAAATAGTGTACACACATACCCTAGCTCTGAGAGGGACTGGGAGCAAGTCAAAAGAAAGACTTCCCCAGCTCCACAAAAAGAAAGACAGGAAGTATTCCAGAATGAGGGAAACTAATGGGACATGTAAAGTAAAGGTAATATATGATTCTGAACTCAGTCATTTTCTTTAAAGGATATTATTAGGACATTTGGTAGAACATCAGTGGCATCTGAGGATTAGATATTAATAATGCATCAGTGTTAATTTCTTGGCTTTGATAGTTGAATTATATATATGTAGTAGAATGTCCTTGATTATAGGAAATGCACACTCAAGTTTTTGGGGATGGTGGGTGGCACATCAAGTTGGCACCTTATTCTTAGTAGTTTAGGTAAAGAAGGTTTTTATATTATACCTCTAACTTTCCTTAAAATTTAGATTTTTTTTTTTGAGAATTTAAAAAATATGTTTTGGTTGCTTGCCATGTACATGCAAACACTGGGCAGGTACTGCAGATCTGCAGATAGAAAGGTGAAGTAGAATATGAGCCCTGGCATCATTCTTTATATATATATATAAAATTTTAGTTGGAGATGGACACAATACTTTTATTTTATTTATTTATTTTTATGTGGTGCTGAAGATCAAATTCGGTGCCTCACAAGTGCTAGGCAAGTGTTCTACCACTGAGCCACAACTCCAGCCCCAGTAATTCTTGATGATACTTAAGTCTAATTGAGGATACAGATAGGTAAGTGAATAATTATAAGGCAGTCAATCTGATCTGGACTATAAGAGGAATATATGTAAAATACTGCAGAAATTCAATTGCAAGTTAGACTAGGGCTATTATTTTGACAAAGATTTTAGCCAAGTGCAGTGGTGCACGCCTGTAATACTAGCATCTGGGGAGGCTGAGACAGAAGGATTGAGAGTTCAAAGCCAGCCTCAGTAAAATTGAGGCACTAAGCAATTCAGTGAGACTCTGTCTCTAAATAAAATTCAAAATAGGGCTGGGGAAGTAGCTCAGTGGTTTAGTGCCCCTGAGTTCAATCCCCAGTACCAAAAAAAAGACAAGTTTTTAGAGTGACATTTATGTAGAAAAGTATAAACAAGGATAAGAATTTAAAGTGAAGTATATATATTAGAAAAATGATACATGAGATTTTTCTAATTATCATACTTTAGTGAAAAAGTCAACCCTTTGAGCACAGATGTAGTATAATAAAAAAATAAAAAGTACTATATTCAAGACAGAATACATATGTAGGTCTTAGTTTCACCATGTATTAGCTCTGAGATCTTGAGACGGCTAGCTAATTTATTTGAGTCTCAGTTTTGGGCTTTGAATAATGTGCATGGCTCTCAAAATTGATAGGTTGTTTTGAGAGTTTGCTATGAAAACATTTTAGGAACTCTTAATCACAAATACAACATTGTCATTAATATTACTAATTGTTGACCTGAAATGCTTATTCTTAATTAAAATGACTGTTTAACTTGTATCATGAATTTGAAATGAATTGGTAGAGATCTTATAGTGTCAGTTGAATAAATTTACACCTCTGGGCAGAGTTTCTTAAGTTTTAGGTGCCTGGCTGCTACATACTTGTGATGCCATGTGGAAGCCAAAGCTGCACCTTCCTGCATGGCCTCTCTAGCCAGCCATGGCACCTCAAACAAGAGCTGTCAAGCCAGCACCAGCAACTCAGCTGCCAGTAGTGGTCCTACATCTACAGCTAACTTGCCTGATGCTGCATCCGTGCAGCTTAGTCTGCTGATAACCCAGATGGCATCCAATACAGCTGGTATGGTATAGGCTCTACTTTTGGGCAGATGTTGGGTCATGCCTTCATTGGGGCAGTGGAGGATGTCATGCTGAACCTTCAGATTTGACATCACTTACCAGGAGCCTCTGGGAGCCCAGCCGGCACAGAATCAGCAACTGTTTGGCCTTTATTCCTATGAGATTAGGAATAATTTTTGTAGTAGTGTGTGCAGAAACAGGGTGATGTGACGTTAAGCTCTGAGAGTTTTAGTGAGGTGCTGACAGACTTGCAAATGGATCGGTCTAATTAAGAAATTAAAATTTAAAAAAATTTAAAGAAATTCAAATTTAAGAAATGGATTATCAGCTCTCTTACCAAGTTATTTTAGCATAAAGATATAATTAGTAGTGAAAGTATTAAGTGTAAAACTTCAGTTAAACTTATTATTAATAGCTTTATTGTTTCAGCAATAGAAGATGGTGTTCATACTATATAGTAGTCACTGAGAGAGTAAAATTTTAGGTATGGGCAAGTGTGTGTGTGGCTTTCTTAAACCAACTATTGTGATATTTCTTGGTATAAAGTGATTTTATTAAAAAAAAAAGGTAAGCTTCTACTTATTGTGCTCTTTATAGTAGGACATACTATAATTGTTCATTTTTTTACTTCATTGTTCTACTGTTCTGGTCTTTATCATTTGGTTTTTCTATTTATAGATCTGTGGGGAGAACTTTTTGCACAATGGATGGGCGTGGAAGCCCAGTTCACATTCATCCTTCCTCAGCAGTAAGTACCTTATTTTTAATAAAGGGAAGGCATTATAAAGATGTAGGAATAAGTAATATACAAATGTCATTTACTTTTCATTTTGAGGTTAAATTTACATGTGTCTGTGTTACATAAATTTGTAGGGGTATTAGTTGCCTCCCGCCTCCTGTTTGAAGAAGATAGGAATTAATTCAGAAAAATTTGAGCTATTATTTAGTTGGTCCAATGTAGAATAAGACAGGTTATAGTTTTCATCCTTAAATGAATTCTTTTGTGTAGCTTCATGAACAGGAAACCAAACTTGAATGGATCATTTTTCATGAGGTATTAGTTACCACCAAAGTCTACGCAAGAATTGTGTGTCCTATCCGTTATGAATGGGTGAGAGACTTGTTACCCAAGTTGCATGAATTTAACGCACACGATTTGAGCAGTGTGGCTCGTCGGGAAGTGAGGGAAGATGCAAGAAGGAGGTGGACAAATAAGGAAAATGTAAAGCAGCTGAAGGGTGAGTGAATCATTCGTTCTCCTCTTAGCTACTGTGCCATGCTATTTTCCAGTAGTGCTTTAGTATTTTTATTTTGTTTATAAAATTTTGTGAATTATTAACCTCAGAACCTCCCTCTTTCCAAGGGGCTTTTTCTGAAATGCTAGGTACCTAGATCAGAGGCATAAATAGTTGTGGTACTGAATTAGGACAGAAAGTTTAATTATCAGCTGACACATACAAAGAGAGTTTCATTGATTTTTTTTTTTTTTTTTTT